CCTCTCTCTGATAACCACTCTCATCTACTTTGTCAAAGATTGGGAATCGAAGAAATGTAGATCGGCCTTGTCTGGATTGATCCATATACTTGACAGTATGAAAACACTGGACTATCTTATAGTTATACTACATGAATTAGTAGAGAAGGTTTTTTTTTTTTTTTTATGTTCATTAGAGTGTTTCATGTTCTGCTTAGTAAATAAATATATCGTGTTGACTATAAGTGGCCTTCATTAGAGAACTATAACAGCTTAAAAAGAATTTATTGTTGTCCTGACAGAAAAATGTCTAGTTTTACACTTCTAAATGGGGCATCGGTTTCCATGACTACTATGACTTTTACTGCTGCAGACCAGGAAAATAGTATCCAATTATTGCTGGAATGAGATTTCATTTATTCATAGCCATAAAATCAGTGTTTTTCTTTTGGAAATTCAGGACAACACATTGATTTAGTCAAAATATTCAGTCAGTTCAAGTTAAATAAATACTGAAAAACAAGTTTATATATATATATATATATATATATATATATATATATATATATATATATATATAGTGTGTTTGGGTGGCAATACTTCTTTTATACAAGTTTCATTAAAAACAAGTGACAAGGGACTGCAGTTATGTTTGTCTGACTATGACATTAGATTTTTTTATAAAACACTATCTTCTCAAGGTAGGTCTGAAAGATCACACTCTTTGCAATAGCTATAATATAACAAAAAAAACAAAGTTGCCGCAAAGTAATTAAAAAAAAAACAAAAAAAAAACAATTGTAATATGATCAGACGAGAAGAACTTCCTTGTTAGTCATTTTTAATGAAGTGTGTATGTGTGTGTGTATATATATATATATATATATATATATATATATACTATTTACATTGTTTGGACTATTGTCCTCATCTTTATTGTCATATTCACGATACTTCAGCTGTTGTACACTCCAGCCTTCTTCAGGTGATATACAGAATTTTGAACTGAATCTTTTTAGTCCACGGGGGGTAGATTATTCTAGTTCCACATGCCATGCCTTTTCTGAATATCTAAGTTTCAGTTGTTTCCCTATTTTATTTTCTATCTTTCTGGAAACTTCAGAATTTTATTCTCGACACATACACACTCACATCTCAAAATGCCTTTTGTGGACTTGAAGAGAATTGTTTTTTTTTTTTTGTTTTTTTTTAAACAGAATTATGCAAAGATCAGAATAAATGTTAATCCAAAGATGCAATATCAAGTGAATATGACATCTGAATAGCAAATTCCCAGCCAAGTTGTAACTATCTTTACCATGTCACCAAAGAAACCTAGTTTAGCATTCCATTGAGAGCTAAGCCCCTCCACAAAAGGATAATTCCAATTTTACAGGAATGGTTTCAGAAACATGAAAATGACTTTACTGTGATGCCCTGATCTCCAAATTCTTCAAACCTTAATCCCTGTTAACTTACAGGATGTGCTGGAGCTACAAATTCTTTCTGCAGAACCTCCCCCACATAACTTGCAGCTGTTAAAGAACCTAAAACCAGATTCCAGGGGAAATCTTTATCAAGTACTAACACCTTATTAAGCTGGTCATCATGTTTTGGCTAGTCTCTGTATTGATTATTTGTGGGCATAATTTATGGCATTATTTTCATCCTTTAGCGGATAATTACAATTTAGCATGATTTATGCTTATGATTTCTGCAGCTGAATCAATTAAAAAGAAATCGGGTGGGGAGGCGTTCATGTAAAGGAGAGACTATTCGGGGGTTGGAGAAAGCAGGGTTTAGGTGTTGATCGGAATTATAATGGCAGTCATTCCCTCCTTCCCCCCCCTGTATTTTTTTGGTTTTTCTTCCTTTTCTTGTCAGTAGCAAACGTGTGGTTATGGACTTTTTCTTTTTTCTTGTTGAGAAAATTTTACCTGATACAAGTCCCAAGAGCCACTCAAAGTAATGAATGAGGTGTGATATGAATGGAAGAGGAAGAAGTAGAGATTACCAGGATGTAACAGGTAGATAACAATTGACCCTAGGCTTGCAAAGGTTAAACTTTTATATGCTGAAGTGGAACATCCTTGACTTGAGGCAACAGAAATGTGGTTCTCCAGAAGGATGCTGAGAATACCATAGACTGAAGTTTTAGAGAAAATGAAAACCAGGAGGACACTGATACTGCAAATTGGAAAGAGTAATTTCTAGGACGCATAATGAGGAAAGAGGGCTTGGAAACTATAATACTGACAGGGCATAGTGATGGCAAGAGGGACAGAAAAACAGAATAACCTACCTGATGAGCTTGTGTAAATGATTGGTAAAACATGGAGTAGGAGAGATAGCAAAATGATAAACACTGCTAAGAGATACAAAGGATAGGAAGTTGTAGAGAGCCATAATCACCCATGTCCTGAAGGGACTTGGCACATAGAAGAAGAATTGCATGGATTTCTTTACTTATTTACCAGCATACTTTGTTAATGATAGTTCTATTCAGTGGTCATTGAAAATGCATAAGTATTTGTCCTCATTTTCTATAAAATGATGTTCACGCTATAATTTGTCAACACAAGAAAACTGGAATATTTATCAGGATATGAAGCCTACATTTTTCTATGCTTTTGTTCTAACAAATGCTTTTTTTATTAACTGTATCTAAGTATCTACAGAAGAGAAAGGTGTCTGTTTCAGTGAATTTTAAAATCCTTAGTTTTGTTTATATTCTCAAGCAAAGGAAACTATAAAATTCTTTTTACAAAATGACTCATGAAAATGAATGTTTTTACCCTGAAAGAAGTTTCAGCAATCTTGACCGTTCATGCCTGCAAAAAAAAAAAAAAGTGTGTCAAAAGGATAATTTTTTTCTTTGACATCACTATTATTTTAACAAATACCTTTTTACTTTTCGTCAGTGTTCATTTTAAAAAGTGATGATTAGAATTGTAATAAAACCTAATCACATGTTGAAAGTGAATTTATATATTTTTTTCTATTAAACACTACTATTTATTTATTAAACTTTATTTACAAGAATAATTTTATATTTACAACATTCTAAAGACTAATACAATTGTAATGCAATGCAATATTTATCATTTACTAAATTATTAAAATATGTGAACCAACTATAGGAAATCCTTATTTACTATTTTATAAAATTAAAATCAATGGCAATTAGCTGATGTTTTATCAACCATTTCAATAAACGGTATAATAAATTTTTTATTTTTGTTATCAATTCTGAATAGAAAAGAAAATGTATAGGTTTCATATGTGTAGGTTTTATTAAAACTCTAATCATCACTTTTTAAAACAAACATTGCCAAGGAGTGAAGGTAGTTAAATTACAAGCAATGTTAGGAAAATATGATTCTTTTGATGCTCTGTTTTTTTTGTTTCTTTTTGTTTTTTTTTTGTTTTTTTTTGTTTTTTTGTCCAGGCATGAATTCTCTTATTTCACTCATTAACAAAATAATTGATAACTTAAACCATTTTTGTCAGTGTGATGAGTATATCCTCACTTCCCCTAAACATTTTTCATTTAGTAACCTTATTTGAAAGTTGTTAATCTGCAACTTCAAGCAAAGAACAATGACTGGCATTGCTTTTCAAGTAAGGACATGTAACCTCTTTGATAATAGTTGGTTTAATTTCAAACTCACAAATGACTATAAAGGCTTCTATAGATATTTGAATAGTCAAATAGTACTTTTGTTGTTTAAATTTCAGTCTTTGCTTAAAGACTTAGTATTTAAATCATTTAAGGTATTAACACAAATATATCTATCGGTTCATAAATATTGGCAAAGAACTTTTTTCTTTGTTCTTTGTCTGACTTTTCAAATCGCATGAAGAGTTCATACAATTGTTTATTTTGTCAGGTATTTAGAATGTCTTCTAAAACTATTGTAAGTCTTGTATTATCAAAATGAATTAAGAAATCTGTATAAAAGGAAAACTCCTTAGCAACAAAGGAAAGAATGCTATTTACTGACAGGTAAATAAAAAAAAAAAACACATTTAATCAAGTTTCGGTATCTGTCTTCCTCTATATTTGGAATTTCTCCTCTCTCCCACTCCCTCCCATATCCCTCACACTATCACTCATCCCCACCTCCTCCCACACTTCTCTCCTGGCAGTTAACAGCATGGAAGCTGAAATCTGTGATTGGAGTTAAAAATAATTTCAGCCCAGACTATTTTTATTCATTTTGGGGATGGCAGATCCTCTCTCCTCTCAAACCCAGATATGTGCAAAATAGCAAGTCAAACTGGGCTCTCAAGCCTTGGTTGACAACCAGTCTGCAAGAAAAAAAAAATCTGTATTTTATATATATAAGGTGTGGAATCCTCTTGAAATGCTCATGAGAAAAGCATCACCCCCCTCTCTCAGTTGAACATGGGGCTTGCAACTTCATCCTCTAAAATCTGTTTGCAATTGAAACCACAGCAATATCAGTGTGTATGGTTGCAACACTATGCTGCACCAGGAGTCTAATTTTAAACATTGTCATTTCAGGAAAAAGAAAAAAGTTTTAATATTTATTCACATGTTTGTTTCAAAAACTTTTGTTCAGATATAATTTAAAGCATATACCTCTTGCACGTCAACATTGTGTAAAATCTTCTGCGTGCTGTGTTCCTTCAAGTTGGCAATCTTGGTTCTCCTATCCCTGGTAGCCCTTAGCAATGTTTGTCCTTTTGTCAAACCTCTGATCCCCACCCTGTTCCGCCAGCCATTTGCACATGTGTATCAGGTTGGGGACCTGCTGTTCCCCTGCTCCTTTTGTCATCGATATGTCCTGTGAGTGTCAAATTCTTGAAACCCTCCTTTCTCATAGTGTCCAGGAAATTTCACCTGTCTCTTGATTCTGAATATGTGTCCATTTTGCTTCCATTTTCCTTAAGGCTTCTTTGTTGTTTACGCACTACATCCATGTGTAAAATAAATATTAATAAAAAAAAAAGTCTTTTATAAAGAAATAAACTCTTATTTTCTTTGCTTTTTCTAGGTGAGAAACAGCGTATAGATCGTGGCTATGACTTTGCCGGTGTCTTGGAATGGTTTGCTGAGCGAGTGGACCGTATTATACTGCTGTTTGATGCTCACAAGTTAGACATATCCGATGAGTTTCGACGTGCAATTGAGGCCATCAAGGGATACGATGATAAAATCCGTATTGTGCTCAACAAAGCTGACATGGTTGACCACCAGCAGTTGATGCGGGTATATGGGGCGCTGATGTGGTCGTTGGGCAAAGTGCTCAACACCCCAGAAGTGGCCCGCGTCTACATTGGCTCATTCTGGGACCAGCCATTGCAATTTGACATGAACAGGAAATTATTTGAGCTTGAGGAGAAAGATTTATTTAGAGATCTTCAAAGTCTACCCCGAAATGCAGCACTTCGAAAACTCAATGATTTGATCAAAAGAGCCCGACTAGCAAAGGTAAGACATTTTTCCTTCATCTCTCTCTCTCTCTCTACCCCCCGCATTTTGAACTGGTGGAAATCTTGCCTTTTTGTTTGTGTTCAGTTGTTTGTTTGTAAATTTCAAATATTTTTTTTTTTTTTTATTTATGCAATTTCTCTTTTGTTATCTGCTTAAATTGCTTTTTAGTGTTGAAACGAAACATTCACGCTTTTATTTACATGGATGTTATTAATTGATTTTAATTATGTATATTGCATTTCACACTTAATTTCAGCCCTGAAATATAGGTTTTAGTTACACTAATGAAAGTTCATCTTGTGAATACCATGGCTCATGCAGATTTTTTACTTTTTACTTTTTTTTTTTACATTTTTAAAAATTTTTTTCTACTTCTTTTTTTTTTTATTTTTTTAATTTTCTTACATTTTTACTTTTTTATTACTTATTTCTTTTTTACTTTTTATTCTCTTTTTTACTCTTTTTTTTTTTTACTCTTTTAACACTTTACTCTCTCTTTTTTACTCTCTCTTTTTTACTCTCTCTTTTTTACTCTCTCTTTTTTACTCTCTCTTTTTTACTCTCTCTTTTTTACTCTCTCTTTTTTACTCTCTCTTTTTTACTCTCCTTTTTACGCTCTTTTTTACTCTCCTTTTTACTCTCTTTTTACTCTCCTTTTTTACTATCTTTTTACTCTCCTTTTTACTCTCCTTTTTTACTGTTTTTTACTCTCCTTTTTTACTCTCTTTTTAACTCTCCTTTTTTTACTCTCTCTTTTTAACTCTCCTTTTTTACTCTCTCTTTTTAACTCTCCTTTTTTACTCTCCTTTTTAATCTCTTTTACTTTCCTTTTTACTCTCCTTTATAACTCTCCTTTTTACTCTCTTTTTTGCTCTGCTTTTTACTCTCTTCTTACTCTCCATTTTACTCTCCATTTTACTCTCTGTTTTACTCTCCTTTTACTCTCCTTTTTTACTCTTCTTTTTTACTCTCTTTTTACTCTCTTTTACTCTCTCTTTTTTACTCTCTTTTTACTCTCTCTTTTTACTCTCTCTTTTTTTTTTTTTTTTTTTTTACCTCTTTTTTACTCTCTTTTTTTTTTTTTTTTACTCTTTTTTTTTTTTTTTTTTTTTTTTTACTCTTTTTTACTTTTTTTTTTTTTTTTTTTTTTTTTTACTTTTTTTTTTTTTTTACTCTTTTTTTTTTTTTTTTTTTACTTAAAAGATTCATTTTATATTTCCTTAAATGAAACAAAATCAAACTGAAAAATATTAGTCTTTTTAAAATAAGAGGATGAAAATAGATAATTTTGAAGCATTTGTGATAATCTTTGTTGAAATTGGCTAAATTTTGTTCATTTGTTATAGTTTGAAACTATGGGTTTAGCACTTGTCAGCTTGTCTGTGATATACCTGGGATTAAAATCTTGAACATTGCAAAACTTTGCCTGTATATTTTAAAATTCCAGAAATCTGCTTAAGAACCTTATACCACTAGATGACCATTATATGCAAATTAGCTGCCAAGCAAATTGGTGGGTGTTGTCTCTGTTCTGCATGTTTTTACTATTTTCTTTCCTTTAGTATTTTGTTACATTTTGTTGGTAGATACTTTCACTGGAATATCTGATAGAAACAGGTGCAAACGTAACTCTCAGTGACTGACTGTTTTATTAGTAATTTATACCATTTAAAAGCCTGTTAAACTAGATATCATTCAGTCCTGGGTATGATGATAAACTACATCCAGCAGCAAGACTTTTCTGATCAGGAGATGGGAGGTTTTGAAGAGTGTGGAACCACCTGTTAATTGCTGTTGTTTCCAGGTCCACTCTGACCCGGGGTGGTAGTACCTGTTAGTCCCAGTTATGGGCAAATAGTGAACCCCCAAGCAAAACACTCTGAAAGTATAAAATTTCAGCAATACATGTTTGTTTGTTTGTTTATATATATAAAGAAAAATATACTGAAAAAACAAACAAAAATCCTAATATGCGATTATGCTGTTTTAATGTTTAATGTCAACGCTGATCTTATAAAAGATTTCAGTTATCTGTTTGGATTGGTATTTCTTTTATGTCCATTGTCTTTTTAATGTTGAATTGTTTATGGTCTATGTTAATTATGTTTTATGAATATGTCCTGAAGATGGTCTATTAGACCAAAACGTCCAACATTGACATTAAACATTAAAACAGCATAATCGCATATTAGGATTTTTGTTTGTTTTTTCAGTATATTTTTCTTCATACTGGCGGATCTATATCCATATATTTGCTTACATATATAGACCAACAATACATATTTATAGAAAAATGACAGTTACATTTTATCTGTAGTTGAAGGCATACAGTTGAGTTCAGAATATTTAGATTTTGGCATTAAATAATCCATAGAGGTTGATGCACTGCTAAACAAGATCCATCTGTCAACTAAATATCATCATTTACAAAATAGACTTGAAATTTAATTTTTACCGTGAACTTCATGGCTGGCAGTGTGGAATTTGATGTTCAGATTTTTCTATCATTAATTAGTATAGTTCTTTTGATTCTATAATGTTTGCCAAATGCTGATGTAGGTACCCCACTCCAAATTGTCTATGTAAGTTTGTGAACCTGTTCGTCCCTTTCTTAACTATAAGCAGAAATTAAGTGAGAGGAGGAAGTTCTTCATACAAAATAATGAGTTGTTAATTTATAAAAGAGATTCTCTGATGAATTTATTAAAATACTGGCACTTATAAAAATTATAAAAAAGATGTAAAGATGAATCAATTGGAATAAAGTAAAGAAACTTTATACAGGGTGCAGCAGAAATACCTCCCACATAATCGTAAGATATTAGCTTGATGAAGACACTGTTCCCACTAATGTTTTATCATTATGTGGAAGGTATGTCTGCTGCACCTTGTATAATCTATTTCTATCTTTATTTTTATCCGTAGATGTGGACAGTGTATTCTTATTCAGTTCCAAGGTAATAGAATTGATTAGGTCTGGTTGTTTTTTCTGGTAAATACATTTTGGTGTCAAAGATTCCTACAGACAGGGGCAATTCACAAGTCGGATGGCAAAGAAGTAGGGCTATTGAGGAGCTTGACATATAATCTGATTTTCTTGGTACATTTCAGACAATAGCAATACTTTTGGGAGGTCCCTTTGATAGCTACTTTTGTCTTGCATGTAATGCCACAAAAGCCACTGGATATAGAAACTCTTACCAGACTATGTCCCTTTTGTTTATCTTGCTGATATGAAGCCGTCTTATTTCTGATGATAGCAGTTTGAGTGTTGTATTAGAAAGCAAGAGAAGTGAAAGAAAGAAGAGTCAAAAAAAAAAAAAAAAAGAATTAATATCTTAAATTGCTGAACCTCAACAAGTTTCAGATCTGAAAAGAATTTGACTAATTGTTTAGACTTTTAAAAATGTGTGTTGATGTTTTAAAAAAAAAATCACTGTTCAGCAAATAAAAACTTTTTTAAATTATCAAATTAGATACACTTTGGCGTATTCAAACTATTCAGTCATCTCGATTTATTTTTTTTAATTTTTAATTTTTTTTTTTTTATTCAGCATGTTTTAGTGGTTTCAAATTGTGCTCACATTTGATTAACAGTGAGAGCAATTGTTAATTTACCATTTACCTTTCTCAGGGGTCATTCAGTACACTGTGACTAAAAATATTAGAATGTCTCTTTCATTTTAAGTCAACATTAATTATCTGACTATGTACTCTAACATTTTATGAGGTTATACAGTAATTGGATTTGAATCCAACTAAAGCTTATTTATTTATTTAAAATGATGAAGACACTGTTCCCACTAAAATGAAAATGAATAGCACATGTAACTCTAAGAGAAAATAATGACATAATCATGATTTTAACATTCCACACTACTTCAAATAAAAGGTTAGGAAGGAAACCACCACTCTAGAACATTCCTATATGTTGTGATGTTTACGTTACTTGTCTAGAGCAGCAGTCACCAACTTTTTGAACTTCATGGACCACTAAATGAACAATTTTAAATTTGGCAAACCACTAATATGAATTTAGAAAAAAAAAGGTAAATACATTTATATAATAATCAGAAAACCTTTATTTTATTAATATGAAACGCACCCATTAAAGGTAACAAAGTTATAGTGTAGTTATAGTGTAAATAAAACAAATTGAAAGTATTCACATTTTTAGTGTAATATTTGTTCCTGTGTGTTTGAAATTAGTTTGTGGATTTTGGACTGCAAGATGGAGAGCTACGTTTATTTCAAGCCAAGACCACTACTGAGTTTTAATTGCTGTGACAGATGAAAATGTCTTTTTGCATAAATATGTTGTTGGAAATTGAATCAAAATTTTCATTACTTTTTCATAGTGATGCTTAAATTGCTATCTTCAATGTTTGCTGCAAATGGATCTATTATCCACATATTTCCATACCTAGGATCCTCTTCCTTTGGGTAAAAATAACCAAATAATTCTGTCAGTGATTGTAAGTGCTGTTGAACAATGGATGCCACTTGCTGGTTGGCATCCTTCTCTCCCATATATTAATCAAAAATTATAAACATTTGTAGATTTCCTTCAGCCAACCGTATTTGCCATAGTGATATTTTCTTTTGAAAAGCATCTATTTTTACCTCATGCTGTAAACATGTCTTTAAGTTGTCCTTGCAAGGATATGCTTAGTTCATTTAACAGTGAAAAAACATCTGCTAGGTATGCAAGCTTAGCTACCCACTCATTGTCAGACAAGAGTTTTTGAAATTTTGGAGTATTTTGCCCCATGAAAGCCATCTCACCTCAGCCTGAAGAAGGTGAGTATACTGGGAACCTATTTCTTCACAAAGTGTTTCAAATATTTGAGAATTAAGCACTTTTTCATATTTCATTTATAATTTTAATAACATCTCATGATACTTTGTGTAGTTCTGAGAACATTTTTTTCACCTTTGCAACAACTCCTGAGCGATGTCCAGTCATGCTTGTGGCACTGTGCATATCCCAATGTTTT